CGAACCATGAACGAGTGAAGGGGGGGAAAGGTGTTTGGAGGGGGAAAAGAGAGGCGAGTCAGACATCTGATTTGTGCTCAAAGCAGCAGCAAAGTGTCAATCCTAAAAAGAAACGCCCCCAAAACCAAACCGACATGGGGATAGAAAAGTGGGGGACGAGAAGGGAAAAGGAGTGGGGATGATGGTGGTCATACGGACAGGCGATGGGGAGGAGAGGTGGAGGTGGTGGGTCGCGATAGTCCGTTTGTAACGGTACGATGACGATGAAGATACTGATGATGATGGGGACTCCTCAAAGGGGGAAAGGGCCGGTTCTTGTAGACGTGGGATCCAGGCATCGATGTGCGAGTGTGTCCGTCCGTCCGTTTGTCTGTCTGTCTGTACGAGTGCGCGTGTAACCCGACCCGACCCCACCCCCTCATCCCCCGTCGCCTGGCCCCCCCACACCCACCTCCACCAGCAGCTGGTTCAGTGTGTTCTCCCGCTCGTCGTGGCCCCCCATGGCGCCCCCGCGACCGCGAGCCCGACCAATGGCATCAATCTCGTCGATGAAGATGATGGAGGGGTTCTGGTTGCGGGCCTGCAGCGTGGGGTGGGGCGGAGAGGGAGGGGGGAGAAGACGAACCACGAGCGAGTGAAGCTGATGCCAAGGAGGATATCGACTGATGCGCCAGAAGTAAGGAAGGTATAACTAAACAGGGTTGGGGAGAGGGGAGGGGGGGAAGGAGGGGAAAGACGAACCACACGCGATTGAAGCTGCTGCCAGGGCAAGATAGTAGCAACCGAAAGGACTGACCGAAAGGCGTCCGTGGCGACTGTGACGACTGTAACCTCGGGATGACGACTGTAACCTCGGGATGAAGAATTGACGTAGATGTTGGAAGTCCTACCTACCTAAGCCGCCAGAAATATTATAGCCAAACCGTAAACTAGTAGGTGTAGAAAAAGTAGTGAAGGCGGCGAGAAAAAATGCTGACGTAAAAGTGGCGTAAAGTTGCTGGCCAGGAGAGAAAGCTGCATTGCTGATACTGAAAGGCTGCCGGTATGCAAGTGTTCCTCCCAACCCCCCAAAAAAACTAGAACGCGCGACTGGCCCGACCGACCCAAACTAAACTATTCCGGCTAGCCTACCGACGCCAACGCGAAATACCAAAGAAGCTCGAACCACCTATTGGACTCACCTGGCCAGGCAGCAGGAGCAGCGGGCAAAGGCACATGCAAGGCAGAGAGGTGGGAGAGTTGTGAGTTGTGGGGAAGGAGGGGGAAAAGCGGGGAAGTCGCAATGCAGGGAAACAAGGAATGAGTTGCCGGCATCCGTCCACCAAAGTTAGAAACTGCTGTAGCCCTAAGCGATGAAGTCATCGAGGAGAGGGGAAGAGGGGGAGGAGGTCGAGGAGGAGGGGGGAGGGGAAAGACGAACACCACAAACGAGTGAAGCTGCTGCCAGGGCAAGAAAACCGAGGGGGGAGGGGAGGCGGCGGAGCTAGGCACTGGACAGCAGGAAACAGCGCATCTAAGCGATCCTGTGAATGTGTGTGGCGGTGAGGATGTTGAGGGAGTTGGGAGAACGATGCCCGGGAACACAACAAATCACAAACAACACAAAAACAGAATAAAAGACGACAAAAAAATACGGCAAAATACACAATCATTCAAAACGCTGGTCCTTCTACTGCTGCTGCTGCTGCCGCTGCTGCTGCAAAGACCCGTGGTTTCAGCGCGTCCGTGCTTGTCCGTGTCCCTCCCCCCCAAATCAGCTTCCCGCCCCCCCNC